CGCGCCATTATTCTATGGCTAGAAATTGGCCTCAATGATTTGGGATCGAGGGGGATTATCCCTCTTTATCCTGCCTCATCTCGTGTAGGCCTGGACAGCCTTCGTAGGTGGGCCCCATCCGTCGTCTACCCCGACCGCAAATGCGGCCGGTGTAGGCGCTTTGTGGGACCTCCTTTTGTCCTGGCTGGGCCCCGCCGGCTAGGGCCCTTTCTTCTGGCGCTCTTCTTGCTTCGCCGGCTCGTCTGTGTAAACCCCGGGGGTAGTGTCATGTTTATGTGTGGTATGGTTGGGTAGGGTAGTGCGGCTATGCAGCCTGGGATGCGCTTTGCTAAGGTAGCCCTTAGTCTAGCGCGGGTGGGGAGGGTTAAGGAGGGTATGGGGATTCATTTAACCGGTTATTTTTGCCCATCCCTACTACCATGGAGACTAGATATAGTATAGTATAGTCTCCATGCCTACTACAGTCTCCCTGCCGTTGACAGTCAGTATTGACAGTCATTTGACAGTTCAAAAATTATTCTGGTAAAAAAAAAACAGAAAACAAATGGATGATTATCGTTAAACTAATTTTATTAATTTATAAATTTGTTTAAGAAACTTCAGGATCGCATTTCTTCAGCGGTGCTAACAAAAGGAGTAAAAGTAAGTACATACCTAACTGTTTTGTATCAAGTATTTCTTGTGACCCCTTATTAAAAAATTTATATGACCAGTCTTATATTGACGAACGAAATAGTAATTATACAAACTTTGTATTGCGATAATAAATTAAGACATCATTTAATAATAATGAATGATATGAAAAATATTTTCACAAAAATCGCTAATAAATGTTTACCTTATTATAAAGGTATTAAGCTAATTCAAATAAATTTTAAATAAATGTTTGCTAAGAAACCCTATTAAATGAAGTCAAACAATGATCATCAATATTAAAAATTTACGTATGCAAAGGATAACCTCACAGAATTCTGTATATATTATGGGAATTAACTACTCTGTGGGCTATTCTTTTTATCTTTATCCTTATTGTTCTAACATCCCTCTTGATACACACCAACATGTAAAAATAGCTACCTACTATGTAAAGATATTAATTCCACATTCTACTAGAATTGTTGCAGGTAGCCTCCTTACAAATAGTATTAATGAATATTAATAGAACAAAATTATATATATAAAAAACAAAACTTAAAAAAAATGTTTTGAAATGAAAACAAAATATTTTTGTATTTATTTGAAGTAGCGTAATACCTTTATAACGAAGTAAAAATACAACAGCTAATAAAATAATAGATTAATAAATATTAAATAAAATGTTTGGGAGTAATTTGGTTTATATTTATGTTTGTTCTCAAAGTGGTGTTTAGTGAACCTGTAATTCCCACATAATGAGTTTATAATATTATTCTTTTAACTTTCATTACTATTGAATTTCTGTTGTAGATAGACTCGGTGTGGGGTTGGGCGTCTCCGCCCTTGCGTTTACAACTGGCCCCACATCTACGTGGGCCTTGTAGAATGGGTGAAATGACTGGGGGAGACAGACCACCTTCTCCAGCTCGTCTATCACACTCTTCTGAAAAGCACCCCAAGAACACTCTCACTGAGCTCAACTTGCTTCGCAGACACAGAGAACTCTGTGATGTAGTATTAAATGTGGGTTCAAGAAAAATTCTTGCACATAGAGTTATTTTAAGTGCCTGCAGCCCATATTTTAGGGCAATGTTCACAGGTGAACTAGCAGAATCCCGCCAAACTGAAGTGACTATTCGTGACATAGATGAGTCAGCTATGGATCTCCTAATTGATTTTTGCTACACATCGCACATTGTGGTAGAAGAATCAAATGTTCAAATGTTACTTCCAGCAGCTTGTCTTTTGCAGTTAACTGAAATTCAAGACATTTGTTGTGAATTTCTAAAACGACAGTTGGATCCGTCAAACTGTTTAGGAATTAGAGCATTTGCAGATACTCATTCTTGCCGGGAATTATTAAGAATCGCTGATAAATTTACACAACATAATTTTCAAGAAGTGATGGAATCCGAGGAATTTCTGTTATTACCAGTAGGTCAACTTGTAGACATTATTGCAAGTGATGAATTAAATGTGCGCACAGAAGAACAAGTGTTTAATGCGGTTATGTCTTGGGTTAAATATAATGTGTCCGATAGAAGGCAACATTTGCCTCAAGTTTTACAACATGTACGTTTGCCCTTATTAAGTCCAAAATTTCTTGTTGGTACAGTGGGATCAGATTTGTTAGTGAGATCCGATGAATCATGCAGAGATTTAGTGGATGAAGCTAAAAACTATTTACTATTACCTCAAGAAAGACCTCTCATGCAAGGACCGAGGACACGACCTAGAAAACCCACCCGAAGAGGTAACATAGTTAAATTATTATGTTTTGGTATTTATACAGACATTTAACATAACAATTTTTGAAATTTTTATAAACAATTTAATTGTTTTTCATTTAAATTTACAAAATGTTTATACCTATATGGATATTGTCTGTAATTATGAATATACAGTAGAATCTCTATAATCCGGCACTTCATTACATCGGCACGTCCAGTTTTGACGTTAATTTTTCCACGTTTGTCTACTATCCTTGAAGAATACGGTTTATACAGTTATAGTATAGTTGAAAGATTATTTTACAGAAAAATAAAAACTACAATATACATATATATGCGCACACAAATGTAATATGTATGTATATATGTACTAATCTCTTTGTTAATAAACAATTAAAAGTAACGTTTTTTAATTTAATACTGTTTATATTATACATATTCCATTAATTCGAATTTCCAGTATTCCGGCACTATTAGGTTTTTAATCGTGCCGGATTAATGAGATTTTCCTGTATATTCAAGAATCATCTATTTCACAATTCATTACGTACATTACAGCTATAAGTGATCACTCACTTGACACGACTTTATATGTAGTGTATGTATGTATATTTTTATGTGGGAAAAAATTTTGGTTATAAGTAATAATTACTAAATGTATAAACTAAATTACGGGTGTGTTATCCACATACACATTTTCTAGTAGGGTGTCATCTCATAAATATGTCGAAAGTGCCCATAAAACTATTTTAGATAATGTAACAGAGGGAAGAAACTAAGAACAAAAAATATTATAATGTACATACTGACTTGCATTGCTGCTAAAAGGCATGAAATAATGTTAAAATGTGAAATTACAAATTGTACAAGGGAAAAAATGGAGTCAGTTAAATAAATTGTGTAACCTCATATATTGCACTGTTGAGCTTTTATTTTCACACAGAGCAATAGACAATTTCACTAGAAAGGCCGCGTTTTTGGGTTGAATGGGATGAATTTTATAGAATAAACTGTGTTGAGCTTTCAAGTTTTTATTCTGGTAGAAAAAATTTATAGCTCTGCTATGCTGAGGTGTTATGCTGAGCTCTCAAATCTTTATTTTGCCGTAAATAGATAGAAAACTAATAATTACGTTAAGAAAGTCTCACATTTACTTGTCAGCATGTATAGGACGAAATATAGTCAATTTTAAAAAAAATTATGACTTCGTTATGCTCAACCAGTGAGTCTTTATTTTGTCGTAACTAATTAATAAATTAATAACTGCATTAAGATAAAGGTCACACATTGGGAAAATGGGGTAAATTTTATAAAAAAAATTCATAGCTCTGTTATGCTGAGCTCTTGATCAATATTTTTTCGTAGACAAGTAGAAAATTAATAACTGCATTAAGAAAGCAAATATATATTATGTACCTCTACTCAGAAAAAGAAGAGGACTTCAAAAAGCTTAAAAAAAAAAAATTTGGTTTATATCTTTGAAATGCAACGGTTATTTATTTTCTAATAAATTACTTCAAAACTTCCAGAAAGTTTCCTAAAACTATGCTCTTTAACATTTTTTCTTAGATAGAAAAAATAAAAGAGATTATATAAATGACCCTGTGCACCAGTTTTACAGGTGCTTCCGACATGTTTCTAAAATGACTTTATTGAATGTAGTCGTACTAGAAAATGTGGATGGATAACCATAACTAAATTTGAATTTAATAGTTGATTTTTTTTAACCAATGAGGAGATAATGTAACAATGAAACCAGAAGAAATGTTAAGTTAAACAATGAAAGATGATTAAAAACGTCTTCAGTATAACCCTTATCGGATATAAATTTTGAAAAATTAATTGCTCCTGCATGTTAAATAGTACCAGAGTCGTAGAAGAGTCTTATGATGACTGCATTTTAGGAGAAGTTCTCTTCGCTGTTGGGGGATGGTGTAGTGGAGATGCAATTGCATCGGTAGAAAAATTTGATCCTCAAACGATGGAATGGAAAATGGTTGCACCAATGAGTAAACGTAGATGTGGCGTAGGAGTAGCGGTTTTAAACGATCTCCTCTATGCTGTGGGTGGCCATGATGGTCAGAGTTATTTAAATAGTATTGAAAGGTAACTAGTAAATAAATAATCATCTACATCACGTTTTGTGCAAACCTGGATCACATACCAAATAGCTATCCCTCCAGACAGTGCCTGGAATAGGAACAGTTTGGCAATGTTGTCACTCTTAAGCACGGATTTATTTCGAACACATTTTTTATCAATGCCTATTTTTTGTATTACTGTATTTACTTACTTAAATGTATGGTGTAGGTATTGATAAAAATGTTTTAAAGAATGAACGAATATCTTTGTAGTCAACTTCAGACAATCAGATATTCTGCAGTGGTGTCATAGTTAGGTTATTTAATCATAATTTCATTAATTAGTTACTATTTTCATTTTTTGGCATTGAAATACTGCAGAAAATATATTTCCAAATAAACAAAGTCATCATAATGATATTTTAAACAGCTAGTAATATATATATCTTTACTGAAATAACAAGTACTTAATTATTATTATAACTAACCTTTGTAACATTTCATTTTTGTCTGATGGTGTGCGAGAGAGACAGAATTATAGTGTGCGAGAGAGATACAGTGATTGTGTCGTTATTCTCTCTCTCTCTCTGTCTGCTGTCTTCAGGAGTCTCTGGGGCTTCCTTAGTGTCTTCAAGACATCTAGGGCTTCCCTCCAGGGAGGGCAGTAGAGCGCGGGCCCTTTTTAGCCTTCATTATCGAGCTATGACATCACAACATATGAGAAAAAAACTGTTTTTGCTGAAAATACAAAAAATTTCCCCCTTGTTCTGAGTAGAGCATTAGGTGGGTGAGGCAGGGCGGGGTGACACAACATATGAGAGAAAAAAAACAGTGGTTGCTTGTACCTTGAAAACGGCTTGAAATATCAAAAAATCTGCCATGGCTCTGATTGATGATAGTGTAAAATGTTCAGTCTGCATGTTGAAAAAAAAAAAATTCAGGATCAAGGATGTGTGACGTCATAGAGTAAAAAAAGTGATTATAACTCGGGAACGGTGTGACAAAATAATTGAAAAAATGTCCTTGACATTCAATAAAAAATATGTGATTCGCTACATTTTACACAACCTGTATATTCCAATTTTTTTTAACAAAGGTATTAATATCGTACCAAATTGGAAGTCGACGCACAAATCTAAAAACATTAATTTCAAGATTTTAAATTCTATTCCAAGACAAATTCATATAAAATAAATAATTAATTAGGTAAATTCATACTTTTAATTCTAACTTAATTTTATTTAGCATTTAACACAAATATCATTTGCAAAGAAAAGAAAAGTTTAATATAATTCTTCAATTACATAGTTAAATGCATTAATTTTATATATATGCCCAGTTATTATTTGGTACTATTGCCAAATCTGGGAACCACTAGAACCTATTACCGATTAGAAGAGTTTCCACACTAAATTTTATTGCTGGATGTGAGCTCAGAAGAGCCTGCATCCTTTTCGTGTTGCATTTAACATGCGGTCTGGTGCGATGATATATTTTGTGACTGAATCATCCGAATAGTTTCTGCAGATGAATGATCTAGTTTGGAACTAAATTTGACACAAATTAGGTTACTACTCATGCAGCCATTGCAAATGCGACGATTACATGCTGAATTTTAACTAAAGATGTAGGAAACAACTACTCGGTGTGTTACATGCCCCATCCAACATTGAATTACACACATTACTTAGTAAATACTTAAGACCATTTGTCAGCAGAATCGTATGTCGCAGACCGGTGAGATATAACCTACCTTTCCCAGTAGGTACAAAACAATGTTTTGTGTCGATAGGCATTGAGTAGCATGACATTTAAGATATAACATACTTTGTAGGTTATATCTCACACACATGCTACATGTGTTGACTGACAAGCTTCTAATTCCCAACTGACCCAATCAGTTAGAGATGGGTACCCAAAACTGAAACTTATCCGTTGGAACAGGTATTTATGTAACTGATCCCAGTAATTAATCTGTACAGATCCATTTTGGTTCGAGTCGACATTGCACTGAAACTGACTCAGGGACTACATTCGGACTTGAATAAAGTATTGTGGCAATTCCAGTTTATATTGATGGCTCCTGTTGGTAAAGCACACCAGATAGCTAGCAAATCCCGATGTGTGGATCTAAAAGTCGGACTAACACTAGCAAAAATTAAATACTTTATTCATTTCTTTATCTCAAAGTGTGTGGTGCATACCGCATACCATACACAAGTCCGGCGGTTGTCCAGCAGACTAGTTCAGCAGGAGTTATTAAATCTCAGTTTTTATTTTGAAGTGATCTTTGAAACAAGCAATTTTTTTCTGAAACTGATTGGAACTGATTCATAAAATTCTTTGAATAAGTCATTCTTATGACCAGTGAAGTCGTCTTCGTTCATGCATGTGCATTATAGTCCACTTCAGTTGCCATGTTACTTTGCAGTGGTACAAACTATTTTCATTATATTAACACTGATTTGTTACTTTGGAGACGGACTTCGTAATATTTTTGTTTTGTAGGTATGACCCTCAGACGGACCAGTGGTCATGTGATGTGGCTCCTACTACGTCTTGTCGAACAAGTGTGGGAGTAGCCGTTTTAGATAATTTACTCTATGCCGTAGGAGGTCAAGATGGGGTTCAATGTTTAAACCATGTTGAAAGGTAAGTAAGTAAATATTGACTACTTTTTAAAATTTCATTTTACTTGCAAATTCTGGTGTAAGAAATCTGTAGTAATTTTCCATTTTTTAAATAGTTTTTTCTAAAAGATTTACTAAATTCGATCTTAGTGTCTTTTTGTTTTCGAATTATGGTCATTTTTTTTTAAATTCATGAAAATTACTACCCTAGGCGAATGTTTCAAGTGCCCCAATCCCAAAATTGCTACAAAACCAATAAAAAATCCCCATTACTATTTCCCCATAAACATTTTGTGTGTGTGTGTCAAAAAGATCACTTTTATTAATTATAAAATGTGCATTTAGTACAGTTTGTAAAATGATATAATGCATATCATTTGTTTGTTACTTAAGAAAAAAATATACGAAGAACTTGTTTTGTATTTATTTCCAAAATATTATATTTCAATGAAAATATTTTGTATTGTTATTTTTGCCACGTAAATAATTTATAGTTTTTTTCACTTATTTTTACACTGTTTTAAATAATTTAGTGTTAACAAATTCATTCAATCAACTAGCCATAAGAGTAGGGTAATAACCTTTTTAAAAAACCTTAAAACTGAGAAAAAATCGCGATGAGTTGGTAGAAAAAGTGCATGAAATAATCGCTTACGACGTAAATTCGACTGTGAGATGGACAGCGGAGAAATTAAGACCAAAGACACGATTCACAAAATTTGGCAAAGGATTTAAACAAACGGAAAATCTGTGCCAGATTTGTTCCTCACAACATTGCAGGGACCTTATTAAAACAGCCAAATGGAACTATACATTCCTGGATTCGATTGTAACTGGTGATGAGACTTGGTGCTTCACATACGATCCTCAAACAAAATGCCAAAGTGCTATGTGGAAGTCCCCAGGCTCTCCAAAATCGAAAATATTTCTAAAAATTATGAGAGAATACAATGTTGATTTGTTTTTATGACTGTAAAGGTACTATCCTTCGAGAATTTGTTACACAAGGTCAAAATGTTACTGGTTTGGGTGTTATGAAGCATTTGTGGAAGAGAATCATGCAAGTGAGGTCCGAATATCGAGTCTCAGGAAGTTAATTTTTGTTGTACGATAATGCACCATCACACAGGACCATCGTTATGAATTTTTGACAAAAAAAAACGTCTGTGTTCATCATCCTCTGTATTCGCCTGATTTATCTCCGTGTAACTATTTCCTGTTCCTGAAACTGAAACTGGCCATGAAAGGAATGTTTTATGACAATGTTACACAAGTCCAAGTAGCCATGACAAAGATCATTGAGGCATTTCCGAAAAATGACATAAACCGCCTACCTGTGTCTTGATGCATAAGGGATGTGTTTTAAATAAAAAGAAATAATTTTGGCAAAATAACTAATTTCCTAAGTTCCATTATTTTTCCGACATACTGTGTAGTACACAACACCAAGCTGGTCCCTCCAACCCTCCCCGATGACATAAAAAACTTAATACGTGACAGACGACGTGCGAAACGGCTTGCCACCCGCACCCGCCTCCCCCGACACAGACATGACTTAAACGTACTTAACAGACGGGTGAAGGCGGCTCTGGATGAACTGGCCCAGGATAACTGGGCTAGGCACCTGGAGTCGCTGGATCCACAAGACAACAGCCTCTGGAAAACGCAGAGGGCCCTGCGACAGACCGCTCGCCGTAAAATTCCTCCAATCCACGGTAGTGTGGGGGTGGTTTACACGAACCAGGAAAAGGCCGAGGCTTTCGCCGATAGCCTGGAACTGCAGTGTAGACTGCCTCAGCTGCCCGACGAAGACGAGGAATTCGAGATAGTGGCTGAGCGCGCGGCCCGACGCGTCGACAGAGAGCCAGACAATGACATAATCCCCCCCGCAACACCTGACGAACTAAGACTGACAATACGCAGACTTAAAAACAGAAAAGCCCCCGGACCCGACAATATACATAACACGACACTTAAACGACTACCACACAAGGGCCTCATGGCCCTACTAAACATAACAAACGCGACACTCAGACTAAGACACTTCCCTACCCGCTGGAAAACAGCAAACATAATCCTTATCCCAAAACCCAACAAAGATCACACCATCCCATCCAACTACCGGCCCATTAGCCTGCTCCCGGCTATGAGCAAAGTGGTAGAAAAAATTATCCTAACCCGTCTAAGAACCCACTCCCAAGAACTGCAAGTCATTCCAGACGAGCAGTTCGCCTTCCGACCCAATCACTCCACTGAACTCCAAATCCTTCGCCTTACCGAGCACATCACGGCGGCCTTCAACAGGGGACAGTACACTGGTGCTGTCTTCCTGGACGTCGCAAAGGCCTTCGATACGGTTTGGCATGAAGGCCTACTGATGAAAATGCTCACCAACCAATATCCCATATCCTTTACCAAACTCATAAAATCCTACCTACACCACCGAAAATTCCGCATCCAAATCCAAGATTCCCTTTCCACCACCCGTCCCATGGAGGCCGGTGTCCCCCAGGGCACCGTCCTGTCCCCACACCTATACACCATTTACAACTCCGACATCCCACATCCCCCCAACACCAACATATACTTATACGCCGACGACCTGACAATCACATCCCAATCCGTAGATCCTAGATATTCCGTCTACCTCCTCCAAAGCTCCTTAGACCAACTTGAAACCTGGTGCAACAGGTGGAAAGTCAAAATTAATCCCAACAAAAGTTCGGCTATCCTTTTTACCAAACGAAAAATCCCACAAAACCTTGACAGACTGACACTATCCCAGGAACCCATCTCCTGGAATCGACAAACACGATACCTGGGCGTGACGATGGACCAGCGTCTCACGTGGAAACCGCACATCGTGGAGACGGTGGCGCGAGCGAAGACCACCAGGGCTAGGCTCTATCCCTTACTCAAAGGTGGAAACACCCTCAGTTTAAGGAATAAGCGAACGCTTATCAAGGTGGTACTTCAACCGCAGCTAACCTACGCCTCCACGGCGTGGGGTCACGCGGCAAAAAGCCACTTAAAGTCATTACAGGCTGTGGAAAACATAGCCCTCCGCACGGCCACCGACGCGCCCTGGTACGTAAGAAACACTGACATATTACGAGACTTACAATACACAAACGCTACACAGACAATAAGACAAAACGCGGAGAAACGATTTGACGTAGCCGCTAGACATGACAATCCCCTCCTCAGGCAAGCCGTTGACTACGTACCCGACGTGACCGACAAACACAAAAGACCTAGACACCAACTTTTTGACCCTGGGTGACCACCCCAATGACCCCCCCCCTGCCCGCTAACCTTTTCTGTTTCAGAGACAGCCAGGATCAAGAAACGAAGACAACGACACACACACACACACACACACACACCCCCCATACCCTCCTTAACCCTCCCCTCCCGCGCTAGCCTAAGGGCCACCTTAGCAAAGCGCATCCCAGGCTGCATAGCCGCACTACCCTACCCAACCATACCACACATAAACATGACACTACCCCCGGGGTTTACACAGACGAGCCGGCGAAGCAAGAAGAGCGCCAGAAGAAAGGGCCCTAGCCGGCGGGGCCCAGCCAGGACAAAAGGAGGTCCCACAAAGCGCCTACACCGGCCGCATTTGCGGTCGGGGTAGACGACGGATGGGGCCCACCTACGAAGGCTGTCCAGGCCTACACGAGATGAGGCAGGATAAAGAGGGATAATCCCCCTCGATCCCAAATCATTGAGGCCAATTTCTAGCCATAGAATAATGGCGGCGCGGTCCCTCCAAATACAGAGCATGAACTTCGAAACATGAATAGTCGTCCCTGTCGTCAATGTTGATGCATGACCAGGTGAACCCTACCACTTTCTACCGTTAGGATTATCATAGCGTATCCATTTTTCATCGCCAGTGATGATACAATGCAAAAAACCTTTCTTTTTTGCTGTTGAAGCAATTGTTCATATGTGAAAAATCGCTGTTCAACTTCACTCGTCTTCAATTCACATGACATCCAATTTCCTTGCTTTTGAATCATACATTTAAACGTTTGGAAACTGTTGTGTGATCAACATTTAACGATTCAGTAAGATCATCTTGCGTTTGTCATGATCTTGGTTGAGGATAGCTTCCAATTTATCATCTTTGAACTTTTTCGGTTGACCAGAACTTTATTTGTCAACTGTATCGAAATCACTAACTTCTAAAACATTGGAATCAATACTCACATGTTCTTATCAATGGAGTATGTCCACTATAAGTTTCCAACAGCACTCGATGGCTTTCAGCAGCACTTTTCTTTGAATTAAACATGAAAAGTAAAACTTTAAAACTTCCCGCAAATGGTGTTTTGTTGGCTCATAATTCAAAATCTTCAGAGCTGGGAAAAAATGTTTACACTTCAGTGAAATGATACATAATAAAAAATAACGCCTATTGACAGAGGTTTGACATGAATATAATTTCAGAAGTGTCCGATGCGATATAGTATAAGTTCTGCCATCTATTGTAAATCCCTCAAAATTAATTCACAATCCTGGTAGAATTTTTTTAATGATTATGGAGACATATGGGATTTTAGGATTTCAATTGATATAAACAGTTCCAGCTTTCAATTCATACTGATATACAGGGTGTTAAAAAAAGAGTGTAAAATATTTCAGGAGGTAATAGTATGAACCAAAATAAGCAGGAAAGTCTTAATAAACATGGGTCCGCAAAGTAACGGTTGCAGAGATATGGAATGTTTTATGTTTTTTAGCCCCTTTTTTTATTTTGCAAAAACGTGTATTTTCTTATAATGGTTGATGTTTAGTGAAATAAACAGTACGTATTTGACAGTTGTTCTCAGTGCACAAGTTTTCTTTCGCTATGGCTGGTTACTCTAACGCAGAATTAACAGACATGCATTTCATGTATGGTCTTGCTAATGGGAACGACACCGAAGCACTACGTCTTTATGTTGACTGGTAGAGCAGAATCCAGGTACGAGTGTGCGGAGAATATCAGCCGAGGTAGGAATTAGTGGTCCTCTTGTTTGGAGAATCCTTCACGAGCAACTGCTTTATCCATACTATGTGCAACGAGTATAGGCCTTAAATCCAATAAATGATCATCAAGCACGTTTGGTTTTTTGCCGCTGGTTTCTACGTCATGATGCTGAAGACCCTCGTTTTCTTGCAAACATTCTTTTTACTGATGAGGCCGAGTTCACAAGAAATGGAGTGTTTAATTTTCACAATACGCATATTTGGGCCGACAAAAATCCTCATGCTCTAATAAAATCTGGACATCAGGCACATTTTTCATTAAACATTTGGATGGGTATTATAGGTGACAGGTTTCTAGGTCCTGTTGTTTTACCAAACCGATTAACAGGCGCTACTTACCTCAACTTTCTGCAGAACACACTGTATGAGTTTTTGGAAGACATTCCTTTGAATCAGAGGCAACAAATGTGGTTCCAGCATGATGGTGCTCCAGCTCATTTTTCCATGGCTGTTAGAGAGCATTTACACCAAACTTTTCCACATAGATGGGTAGGAAAGCCGGACCTGTTTTATAGCCTCCAAGATCGCCTGATCTGAACCCTCTAGATTTCTTTGTTTGGGGTTATTTGAAGACATTAGTGTATGGTACTCCTGTAAATAGCCTGGAAGAGCTGCAGCTACGGATTAATCAAAAGTGTCAAGAAATCCAAACCAAGAAGGGTGTTTTCGAAAGAGTTCGAATATCGATGAGACGAAGATGTCGTGCCTGCTGGGAAATGAACGGAGGGCACTTTGAACATCTTCTGTAACTTTGTTTTTTGTTTGTTAAAAGCTTCCTTTGTCGGTTTATTCCTAATAAAATAAAATGTTTGAAAAACGAATAGTGGTCCTTATCTCTGCAACCGTTACTTTGCGGACCCATGTTTATTAAGACTTTTCTGCTTATTTTGGTTCATACTATTACCTCCTAAAATATTTTACACTCTTTTTTTTAACACTCTGTATTTGCATTGGAGTTTATTGTGATAAATGACTATAAATCCACTGTATTACAGATTTACGCTTAAGTAATAAGCTGGAACTATTAGCCGTTGTTGGCACTACAAGTAACCTAAAGGTTTGTGCTACCAACTTAGCAACATAAGACAGGATAGAATTATGTAAATGTAATGAAAATTCCTAATTTTGAATTTTCGAGTAGACATTTTTTGAGGAAATCTAATGAAGCATGACAAATAAAAAAGCGATCATTTTGTATATTGAGATTATATTATAAGTACTTTATGTTTATACAACATTGGATACAGAATTTCGCTTATGGAAATGACCATATTGTAACTAAATTTATATTTCAGATATGATCCTAAAGAGAATAAATGGACAAAAGTAGCTCCTATGACAACACGTCGCTTAGGAGTAGCAGTAGCTGTGTTGGGTGGATATCTGTATGCGATAGGAGGCTCCGATGGTCAGTCTCCTTTAAATACAGTTGAAAGATATGATCCTCGTCATAACAAATGGACACTGGTGAGCCCAATGTCTACACGTAGAAAACACCTAGGCTGTGCTGTTTTTAATAATCTTATTTATGCCGTCGGCGGAAGGGATGACTGTATGGAATTGAGTAGTGCGGAAAGATATAATCCTCATACTAATTCTTGGAGCCCTATCGTAGCTATGACATCACGAAGAAGTGGGGTAAGAATCTGTATTTAATCTATGTTCTCAAAGACTATTATTATAACTTTTCCTGTACTGAGGCTGAATTACTACAGTTTGCAAATTTTTGTACTTATATAGATGTTCTGCAATGAACAATTAACCCTAGATCACTAACCTTATTTTTCAACATTTCTTATAGACATTCATCATTTCAACTATGCTTTTTTAAAAAAGGGGTTTCAAGGGTTTCATTGAATAAAATATTTATAATTTTGTATTTATTTTCAAATACAATCCTTTAATAATATGTTTATTATGTACAATGTACATATCGATGGTGTAGTGCACAAATGTAAGTACACTTTTCAAGCAAAATGAGTTATAGATATAGATAGGTAGTACAGAAATAGGAACTTGTCTCATCAAATATCTGGCGAGTTTACCAGAAACTGTTACACATGTCGCATCATTTTCTGATACATGTAGCGGACAAAACCGCAATAAATTCGTAGCAGCAGCGATGCTTTTTGCTGTTAATAAAATAAAATACCTAAAAACTATAGACATGAAGTTCATGGAATCGGATCACTCATACCTGGAAGCCGATTCCATGCACGCTACTATAGAAAGGGCTAAAAGACATAAAAAAGTATATTCTACCCGTGAATGGGGACTTTTGATATCAATGGCTAGAATTAAACCTCGTCCTTATTTCGTCAATGACCTTAAGTATACTGATTTTTTCAACTTGCAACAACTAGTGACTGATATTGTTGTCAATACAACCCACAATATTCAAAAAGAAAAAGTTACCTGGCTCAATATAAAGTGGATGCGATATCAGAAGGAAAAACCATTTATTATACAGTATAAATACAACCTCTCTGACGGAGCATTTTATGAAATCGATGTCTCTGACAAACGTAAACCAGGAAAAAAGAAAAGATGGGAAACAGTAACATTAAATCAAAAGTATGACTCCAGAATACCGGTTTCTCAGAAGAAAAAAAAAGATCTTTATTTGTTGTCGAACAAAATTATTCCCGAGGATTATACCAACTTTATTAAGGAAATTCTTGAAGTGAACAATGGAACTCAGCTTGATGCAGCAAAATTAGATGATTAATGCTAATTTTTTACTTTCTTTTTGTATAACTTTTGATTACAGTAACTGTATTTCTTTTAATTTGATAAAATCTGGTTGTTTTCTGCAATAAAATCTAGTTTAAAAGTTAATTGTTAATTATTTTGTTCAGTGAGTAAAGCATTACTGGAGAACCACAAATGTGCTAAGTGCTGTATATTTATAAAAAAAATATATTTTTTTTCTTATTCAAAAAATTATTTGAGTATGTGCTATGTGACCTGCAATAAATATTAAACCAACAAACCCTACCTAGCAAACATAATCACAATTAGGCATTGTGCTATATTACTATAACATTCAGAAGTTTATTTCTNATTCCTGAAGTGAACAATGGAACTCAGCTTGATGCAGCAAAATTAGATGATTAATGCTAATTTTTTACTTTCTTTTTGTATAACTTTTGATTACAGTAACTGTATTTCTTTTAATTTGATAAAATCTGGTTGTTTTCTGCAATAAAATCTAGTTTAAAAGTTAATTGTTAATTATTTTGTTCAGTGAGTAAAGCATTACTGGAGAACCACAAATGTGCTAAGTGCTGTATATTTATAAAAAAAATATATTTTTTTTCTTATTCAAAAAATTATTTGAGTATGTGCTATGTGACCTGCAATAAATATTAAACCAACAAACCCTACCTAGCAAACATAATCACAATTAGGCATTGTGCTATATTACTATAACATTCAGAAGTTTATTTCTCTCCTCCTGAAAAATTTACATTTTTTCTGATTATTAACTGATGAAATATTTATTACCGAAATGGCCTTTTGGATATTGATATTATAGATTCCATGCAAAATCAACATTTTTTAAATTTTTAAAGTGCTTAAATTATATCTAGAAAGAAAACATTTGAAGCAAACTTCAAATATTAAAGTAAACAAGATGAATAAACTAGTAAAAATCTAAAAACTAAAAACTAATACATTTGTGATACATCAAGTTTGTGTCCACCACACAAGGATGGTTGGTGGAACGACGCACATGGGCCCCCACCAGAAAGCACTATCGTCCATCACACTGGCAACGAGTTGACTGAGATTAGCCGGGAGCTGATATGAGTGCATCCAGGCAGACAAACTTTACTATGCTTTTTTCAAATCTGCGTTGTCGATTCAACGAAGGTTTGTAATCTAGGGTTAAAAGACACTGCAGATTGGTGAAAATTAAAGTGATGGGGTCATCTTGATTAAAAATATATATAATGTATATTTCTACTTCGTAATCACCTGATAGACAAGACCACAGATAAGAACTTTTTAAAGTTCTTTTTTTTTTCCTTGAAAATTTTTTGTATTTCTAACAGATTTCACATAATTATTTTATTATTCATCGACAACACATTTTCCAGGTAAATTTGGTTCAAATGTCAAAAATTTGCATGTTTGATAATAAAACAAAATAGTGCTTAGTGGTAATGATCACTATTTTCAGTATCAAATAATTCAATAAAAAGTATATCTTCAAATTATGAACGTTCTGATTTAATTAATGTTCTTTAATTAAGAATAATTAAACAGATTAAAATTTGATTTTATAATTACTGAACGAGAGAAACTTGAAATGAGAGTGATCCTTTTTTTAACTGATAATATCGATAATTTTCAATAATTTTCTTAAAATAACCTTTAATTACAAGATTCTGAATTCCACAAAATATTTTTTCATTTAATATTAAATTTGTTATGGAAATTAAATCAGAAAATGCATTGGCAATTACTAATAAAATGAATTATACCAAAACTTCTAGAAATACAGTAAAACTCGGTTATAGCGAGCATTCACGGGAACGCAAAATTTGCTCGTTATACGCGAGTGCTCGTTATAGACGTCGCCGTCGCCAACTATGCTGAAAATTATTGGACACATAATTATAGCTGCATTGCACTTGTATTTTTATTTTCAAACATATAATATTATTTATCATAACTGTAGGTAAGTTACATTACATAGCATTTATTATTAACGAAAAAATTCTGTAATATTTTTCTGCACCACTCTTTTGCTTAATATCTCCTGACTGATATTTCTTTGCAACCAATCAGCGGCATTTAAGAACTGCTCGTTTTCCGGATATTTGAATTCGACGTATGATACTATGGTTTTTAACGCAGAGATGGCTTCATGTGTCGAAGGAACTGTAACCTCATCGCTTCCCGTCTCTTCTTCATCACTTTCTTCATCTATTGATGGGTTAATCGCTAATTGTGTGATTTGAATTTCATTGTGGAATTCAGCCACTTCGAGATTTCCGTCTACCATGTCGTACTGAACTAAGTCAAAGACGTCAAAATCGGATATGTTGTTATTTCTACTTGTCATAACAAGTTTTTGCGTTCATTTGATGTCATGTGCATAAAAAGTGGTTCTACGATAACTCGTTATAGCCGAGATCACTGTTGCGCGGGACCAAAATCAAAGCTCGTAATAGCCAAGCCCTCGTTATATACGAGTTCGTTATAGCCGAACAAAAATACACGTGTTACATAGGGAATTCGGAAGGGACTTTTCAATTTGCTCGTTATAACCAAGTGCTCGTTATATCCCCTGCTCGTTATAAGAGAGTTCAACTGTATGTAAATTAACAAGAAAAATTTTTTATTTGTATGATAAAATAAGAACTTGTGTCCTATACTTTATTATCAAAATATAAGCACTTTAATTTTTACTAGCAACTTTTAAAAGGTGATCTTAGACAAGTTTTCAGTCCTCAAATTTTTAAGATGACAAATTTTGACAAACGATCAGTATTTTTTATTTTATATAAATTTATAAATTAGACAGCATGTATTTTTTTTTTAATAATGAATATTTTTTTTTCAGGTGGGTTTAGCTGTAGTCAATGGCCAATTATATGCTGTAGGTGGATTTGACGGCACAGCTTATTTAAAAACGATAGAATTTTACGACACTGAACAAAATCAATGGAGGCTGTGTGGATCGATGAATTACAGGAGGTTGGGTGGTGGTGTGGGTGTAATGAGAGCACCTCAAACTGAAAATCGAATTTGGTAGTTTAAAAACTATCATGTTTTTTAAAAAAATTTATACTCATAAGAAACATTTCATTGAAATAAATTAGTAACTATGTCTTTAATTTATCGTCATAAAATTTCTGAATTGTGGTATTATTTTTTTAAGGAATAATAGAACCACAGAGTTATTATCATGTACCATTGTGTACAGTCTGACTATTAAGTTTTAAGACTGATTTTATTGTGCTGAAGTGTATGGCGCTATCTATGTGCGGTTAACGGGACTACGTAGTGGGAAGCCTTCTGAGCTGCTGAATAAAATTTCATCAGTATATGTGTATCTACCACGAAGTTATAACGTTTTGCATGAAGCGATTTTTTGGTAGTTGTCATGGAAATGCACATTGAATAGCGTTCAGCAATCAAGTTCTGTTTTAAAACCGGTAAAACAGCCACGAAAACGTATGAATTGTTACAATTGGCATACGGTGAGGAGTGTATCACGTCCGATTGTGTTCTTGTAGTTCAGGCCATTACGATATCTCTCGACCCACAAAAACACAGTCGGATGTGATACACACTCCTCACTATACTCCGTTTGTAATAATTGATATGTTTCCGTGGCTGTTTCACAGACTTTAAAACAGAACTTGATTGCTGTAAGCTGTTCAATGGGCATTTCCTACTATATAGTTCCATTAACCCCACATATACAGGGTGTTTGTAAATAAGTGCGAAATATTTTAGGGGGTGGTTGTCGAAGTTATTTTGTGTAAAAATCTTCATATAAATGTTAGTCAAAATATGCTTTGTTTCCGAGATACGGAGTGTTTAAATTTAAATTTTTTATTTATTTTTATTAATTATTTCAGATAGTTTTAGAAATATTTACAGCAATCTACTAGATAATGTATCAATAAAAATTAAAAATATACACAACTTGCAATAAAATATGTCTTATTTTTTTCCACAAAAACGGTGCATACAGATTTCTAAAAAAATGTCAAAACGGAAAAAAGTCAGTGGTATACCATGTTTTTTATTAAAAAAGTTTGTGGCATTCTCGCACGAACACCACTGCTGTAAGTAGAAATATTCGGATCATCCCAAAAAATGCACATTTATACCTCCAAAGCGTTTCGAGTCAATATCTTTAAAATAATAAAAATAAATAAATAATTAAAATTTAAACACTGTATCTCGGAAACGTAGAATATTTTTACCTATGTTTATATGAACTTTTTTTCACAAAATAACTTCGATAACCCTTAAAATATTTCGCACTTATTTACAAACACCCTGTATAGTGCCACGCACTTCGACACAATAAGACTTAATAGCCAGACTATAATTATAGAATATCCGAAATATAAGTTCTATATTATTTGTATATATATATTGTCTTTGTTTTCAACAAAGTTAGTAGCATTTTTTTTTAAGGGAAAATTAATTTTAGAATGTAAAGTTTTTATGTAGATATCTTTAGTTATGAACAAAGTTTTAAATAAAAGACTAATTATGACTAAATTTCTTTATTGTTCAGCAAATTAGATTTTTCTAATCATGTAATCGTACATCCTAATAACTCTGTGGGTAACACAAGTTAACAAAAAATAGTGTATTTTATCTAAGCATTAAGGATAAAAGTTGAAAAGATTTAAAATAATGAAAATGACTGTATGTGCTCGGAAATATAATAATTATAATGAAATATATTGTTGCTGATATTGTTTGGGTAATTTTACATTTACTATGTGATTATGGTACCTAAAATGTTACATTGTTTTTACAGAATTTTAACTGAAATGGAATTTACAAATTATTTAATGTATCGTATAAGCAATTATATCCTATATTAATTTTTGAATTTTAATTTATTTTTTCATGTCATTTAAGTGTATTTGTAAGTACTGTTAGCTTTATAACAAATAAATAATGTAAAATTTGATTATTGGATTGTGTTATCGGAGTATACAGGGTGTCTCATAATTAGCTGCTAACCCTGAACAGGCCGATTCTATGATCAAAACTAAGTAAAAAAGTTCATATGAACATGGGTCCGGAAATGCTTCCTAAGGGCACAGGGACCCATTGAAGAGGGAGGAATGGAAATCATTTTTTTGCAATATCTCTCAATCGCGTTGTGACAAATGAATGAAATTTGGTATACACAGCTAAATTTTGATGAGCAATTTGATGGACTAATCCATTTATTTCCACAAGGTCCATTGGGGTGGGTACGGGGGGCCCTTGGTACTTTGCATGTGTAACTTTTTCATCTTTGACTTTTTAACAAATTGGACAGCAAATTCCGTTTTCCCGAACTGTTTTACGTTAAAAAGGTACTCTTGTTTCAAATCGTTATCTTTAACGGTTTCTGAGAAAATCGCTCTTGAATTAATCCCACTTTGGTCAATTTCATAGTAATTTAAACAAAAAATAATTAATAATAATTTTCCTTTCCTCTCTTTTCCATTTAAAGGATTAATTTTTATTTAATTTAATTTTTTATTTTTTTATTAGATTAAATTTAAACAAAAAAATTTTTTTGTGAAAACTAATTAACTAAGAAATATTTTGTGGAAAATAGAGTATTTTTTTTAAGCCTACTCAGACCCGGGTTTAGGGGGGGCTACGGGGGCTATAGCCCCGGTCCTCACGAGATCAGGGGGCCTCGGCAAGATTTGGTGAAATGATACCAAAAAGTGTAGGTTTTGCTTTTTTTTATTTTTAGAATCAAACCAGTGTTTAGGTTCTGAAATTTGATATCGGTAAGTCACTAATTGCATGAGCTTTTTTTTTAGAATCAAACAAAAAATTGTTTAGGTTTTGAAATTTTAGAAAAAGGGCCTCCCTAGAGCTTGCAGCCCCGGGTCTCGCTAGAGATTAATCCGGCTCTGAGCCTATTGACTTACCACATTGATACGATGAAAGCGTATTTGGAACAGCTGACTTTACTTAGTAGCTTTGTAAACATATTACAAATGTATGCACAAACATTTGTCTGTGTTTTGATGCCTTTATGGCTATGTATATTAATTTATTATTGCTATATTGATGCATCATTTAAGTATATTTATTCACACATATTAATAAGCACCAAGGAGAAAACAAAGTTAAAACTAAGAATCTAGAATGATAAATAACTTTACTTCTGTGTACTAATAATTGTCATAATAAAAGACACGTTTTTGTAATAAAAACTAAAGTAGAACTGATGACTATATAAAATCCAATTTTTCTATTTAGTGTCTAAAATTGGATAAAAAGCAGATGACGGGCGACACGGCATTTACAGCCACAACTGTTCACCTCTTTTTATGTAGTATCATTGTATAAGTATTTACTTATACAATGGCAGTATATAAATTGGGGATGATCCCAAAACTTTGCGATAAGTTATAACAATTTTGATTAGTAATTTTAAGTACAATTTTGCTGTTCCCAATGGTTTTGATTATTGCAAAAAATGTTTATCACTAGTGTACCGTACCTGCCATAAAAAAATCCTGAACCTATACAGATTCCAGATTATCTAAGTTTTTAGAGAATCCAATATTACTTATTATATTTTGTAAGAATTATTTACTATTTTAAAATATTCTAAAAGAAATATTGGTGTCGGACAATAATAATTGTGGTTGCATATATTTAGTTTCTATTGCGAAATGTCTCGTATAAATCTTTTGATCTCTTGCTCGAAAAAAAAACAAGAAATCGACAATTAAATTTACTTTGGAAATAGAAAACAATAATAAATTATCCTTTTTAGATATTTTAATTGTAAAAAAATGCAATTCTGTAGAAATGAGCGTTTAAAGAAAACCAACTCACACTAACATATCTAATTTTGAATTCTAATCGTAATCATATAAAGAAAGATGTAATTAAATATTTATACGATAGAGCCAAATTGATTTCAAGAGATGAAATTTTTTAACATTTAGTTAAAATTCATAAAACACCCACTAAGAACAATCAATTTCCTGAGAATTTTGTTGAAACTATTTTTTAAGAATACTGAAAGTAAAACAAATTCTGTCAGAATTATTGGAAAAATGAAGGAGAATAGGTAACAAATTTAACATTAGAACAATTTTTCAGGTAACATACTTTTCTCAGACTTTGTTACAGATGCACCAAATATGACTTTTAAAATTAAAAAAAATTGAATTTATAGCATATCTTGCGAATGTAATATTATATGTTGAAGTGAAGAGACCCTCTCAACCTGTAAAAATTAGGACAGCACAGATTATATTAAAAAAATGAAAATCTGAGAAATAAAAAATTTGCATCATGGTCATGTAATTCTGTGGGGATTGGCTAAAATTTTGAAGAAGGAAAATAATACTTTTAAATGAAAATTGAAAAAACTCCTTCATTATTTTGTTGAACGGTGAAAAATGTGCTTCAAATTATTGTGTGACCTCGGACACTTCTTGGCTACATTTTAATGCTACAAATAAATAACTTCAGACAATGCTTTAGACCTACTTTTATTTTTTTGCCTAACGAGAAATACTTTGATATTTTGTTTGTTTTTATATTTTTGTTATATTGGTTTTATCTGTTGACGGATGCCATGTAAAAGTAAAACTTTTGAGTTTTCAAAAAATATATTAAAAAAGAGCTTTTGTAATGGTACAGAAACAAGAAGAAATGTTTTAAGAATTGGTTGTCCCGTTAAACATATTAGCTTTGATCTCAGAGCTATCTAAATCAGTTCCCAATAGCCAAATACATACACATTTCGTTATAATGTTTACATAATGTTCAAAATTCATTGTTTCAAATCAAATACGAATCAGTCTGATTGTTGGAAACTGATTATAATGCACTAGGAACAAAGGTATTAATTTCAAACGATAAGAATAATATTCTGTATGACATTTAAAACATGAACCAAAAAAAAAGATCCCATTAAAGTTTCTGTTAGGGCATTTATTTTATACTAAAATTTGCAATTTTGATAGCAGCTGGAACAAATATATCAATTAGATATCAATTAAAATAGAAAAGTTGTATTTACATTTATTTTATAAATATATACACTAAATTCATTCATATAAATAAACGTAGCTAAGGATATGATCTTAACCCTTTCGCCACTAAAGGGCATATATGTCCCACGGAATTTTGGGTTTCAAAAATACGGTAGAAGTTTTTTTTGAAAATAAGTTTTTTTATATAACTATAATACAAAGTTTATTCAATATTGTCTTTTTAGCATGCCACATTTTAAATTTTAATATTTTTTTTTAATAAATTTTGAGGTTAACTAAGACTGGTGTTAATAAGGTGGACTGATGTGTACGCGAATATATACCTAGTACTAGCAGCACGGTTGGGACAGTTTGAATAGGGATTTATAATGCAGTGGTATGCTTGCAGTGTTTTTTAAAATTTCCTTGGTACATATATAACCCAATAGTATTTTTAAAGCAGAAAAAATTATGTTGTAGCCGTAGCGAAAGGGTTAACTAATTTTTTCATGTTTAAGCATAAATGCTATATATTTTAATTATTTTATTTCAAAAATATGCATTCTTAGCACAGACTTTTCATTTATATTTTCACATCTAAATAGAGGGGTAATAGAAAAGACAATTTTATACAAAAGTTTTTGTATGAAGTTTGTTCTTTTTAATAGACACCATACATTTCTATATTCTTTCATACAGCGCTTTCTTAGGAATATAGTTACATTTGTTTGAAAGGTCTATCTCTAAGAATAAGAGAGATATGGCCAAAAGAATAGTCTTATTAATGTGTCACAGATCATCAATTTCTACACCTTTCAACATTCATTTGTTTATTTTAATGACTAAAAGACAATGTGAAAAGATCAAAATTATTTCTCATATTTTATTTTTATCGTAATTCTTTTATTTTTGACTAGGGAAAAAATTCTATAAAGGTTGGGTCTTTTGAGTTAGCTCTAACTGTTTGGGTTTTCAAGATATTTTGAAAAACAGAGGCTATTTTTTAAAATTTTTATGAATTTTTGAATTTAATAAAAAGTTATAGAAACTGTTTGCAAAGACTCGGATAGACTCGGATTTTCGTTTCAAAATTGGGAATTTGAAAAATCATCACTTGTGGAACATCTAAAAAAATACTGTTCTTGTTCAAGATACAAATGAGAAAATTCCAGAACCATAATGTTGAAAAAAAAATTCTTCGCAAAAAGTTACTTTGGTAATATTCTATAGTCATAAAAAATTTGTAATAAAAATATTGCGGCTTTTTCTTTAAATATTCTGAAAACCCAGACAACTATGTGTCATTAAGTTAGTAAAAGAATAGCCTAAAACTTACTCCATTTAACGTTTTTCTATCTTATAATTCCCAAAAGCCCAATTTATGCACCACCAAAATGGCTCAGTTATCATTTTCAGTGGGAAACTCTGTATAACAGTAATTTATGCTACAAGTACAAGTTGAAATCACTTTGCACGAGTTGGTTTTTCAGTAATATTGCAAATGCAACCAAAAATTTTCAGATTCATTTAAAGCTGTTTGACCTTGAAAATTTGAAAATACTAAGAGTCATTCTCAGTATTTAGTACTATGATGAAGGTGCCAAAATAAACCATTAGAATTATTTCAGAAAATAATTTTGCAGTTTCGTAGCCGTTTGTGTTGAATTTACTTGTTAAATGAACATTGAGGTTGTCGTAGAAATATTTTTTTTTACTGTCATACAGTAAACTATCTATATAAGTATCAAGATATAAGTGAAAAATGTACACAAGTGTACCTATAAACATCTACAGTAGCATATCACACAAGTTACTCTTCATAATAAATCAGTCTTACAGACTCATTAAATATGTATAAAATCCCAGTAATAATTTACAACATAAATAATAGTTTTACATATTTTTTTTATCACATAGTATTTGAGTTTTTTGGTTTCCATCTCACGATGACACGATGTTAGGAATTGAACATTCCAGCCGTGTCCACCAAACAATGGCACCCACATCCTGTCAGACAATAATTTTTAAGGGAAAACCACTCTTTCAAACAATATGTATGACCACCGTGACCACAGATCGTACAACAATTTGCTGAGCCTCTCACCGACAGGTGACACACCATACAGTTTAAAGAAAATTTTTTACAAGTATTACAAAGGCAATTTTTAGCGGGTTTAAGACAATCCTTGCAGTCTGTGAGGAACTCTACCCCTTTGTGTGGTTCCGGTGGGTTGCACATATATTTGATAACTTCGGCTCTGTTATAGAGAAGTCCCCAACGATACAAAGTTTCTGCATAGGCGAGTTTATAATACTCGTACAATGCTGTTGATGAACTGCGTTGAGGAACAACTTGCACAAGCTCTTCCATTCTCAGGTTATCTAACGATGTAGACCTGGTAGTTCTCAACATAGGAAGGACCCATCCATCTCTTATGATATCTGCCGGAGGAATGGTATGGTAAGGGGAACCACCTGACTGTAATTAAAACAACCATTTTATAGTGTATTTCCATTTGATATAGGTTTTTCAACTTAATAGCAAGCCACGAGTAATTTAATCATAAAAAATGAAAAAGTAGTACAATAACAAATATGTATATATCTCTTCTTGTATATTAATAAGTCCATATTCTATAAATTTTGGTACAAATAAAAAAAATAGTTATATTATTTTTATCAGTGTTTATCAAACAGTACACACAGCAAGTAAAGCACCACAATTCTTTAAATGAGAAATAATAACACTTTCATTAAGTCATTTTTCATTTAGGCTTTTTTTTCAGATGCGCTATACAGATCGTTTAATGTTTACAAACCACGTGACCGCCGAGCTTAGGCAACCCAACATTGCAGAACTGGTACTATATTCTGAGGTCGAAATTATAGAGAGTGACTCATCGCTAGCTTTTGGACTAGTAAGGGGGATGAAGCGTGCCGGGAACGAAAATCCATTGACGTGTCTGCGTAAAAGGCAACAAGATATAAAAAATATTAAAGAAAGATAATAAAACATAACATTTTTTTTTGTACGGTTTGCTATAACCGGCACTTTGATCCATTTTAATTATTACATCATTTTAAAACGTCCCAGTTGTGTTTCTTTAATTTATAAATTTATTATAGCCATGGAATTAGTCACCTCGTCTGCGCTTATGCTATGACGTTTCTCAGGACTCGTAAATCAAGTCCGTTTTCACCCAACTAAAAAAGCATTTCCCTATTCCCTACCAAGAGCAAAAGACAGAGATAGAATATAGATTGACGTTCAGTGTAACTCAGTCTATAGACGATTATAGATTCTGTCGATGTGCGTAGCGAGCGGCCCAAAGATAAATAATATTGAACCGTATAAAAATCATTTTATATTTTATACACATTATGGTAATAGTGTTTTTATATTATGTCTGAATCACCCTCTATAATTTCGACCGCGGAGTATAGTATAGAAAAATCTTTAAATCTTGGTAACACCAATATTAATGATTTATTTATAATGAACAGTAATAAACTGTTACGCCTATGTTTGAGATAATGAGATCACTGATTGGTTGAATAGAATCTCACGAAAAACTACGTCAATCACAGCCGATGAAACAGGATGTTGCGTTTTAATCATAGACCTTTTTAACGTAATCTTGATCTTATTGTTTTAATAATTTTTAATTTTATAAAAAATTAATTGCCAACATGAAGGAAATAAAATTACTGTTCCAAACAAAACTACTGGTCACGTGGCTTGCAATCATTTATGAAGGCATAAGTTATACCAAAGCGTTAAGTGAATGATTTCTTCACTCAACGACCAAAGTTAGCATTTAAAAAAGGTTTTAATAACAGTTGTTTTTTTTAAGATAATCAACTGAAATTTATCATAGAATTTTATTTTATGCCAGCACATTTTAGTGTAATTTTAGTTAAAAGTCTGAACAAAAGTGAATGAATTATAGTACTAATTGAACACCCCTCATCATTTTCCTATATATGTCTATTATTCAAAGAAATCAGTTTTTACATCAAGCAATTACTTTTTATCTTTGCAAAATTTTGGTGTAGGGTATTATACATATACAACTTCTTTGAATATGTATAATGCTTAGTGCATTTTTATAAAACTGAATTTTTTTTGAGTTAACATTAGCAAGAATTTTAGTTAATGTTCTTTTAATTTACCTAATGTAATTTTAAAAATTAAATTGCCAACTTAAAATTTTAAGTTTTAATCGAAACTCGAAAAACAATATATAAGAAATCCTCTGCAAATGTACAGCTGGGTACTTTTGATGAATGAAAACCGAATATACTGAAAAATTTCTCTGATGTGATTGTGATTAGGACAAATAAAAATATAGTCTTAAAATGCAAATTTACAAAGACATTCACAAATATCAAAATCATATCATTCAAGAAAAATTTTGTAAAATCAGATTGTCACTGTGTTGAAAAATTAAACAATAGCATGGCAATATCGCATATCCAAGAAAGTAGCACAATATCTTGTAAAGCAAGCCTTAATTCAAAATCTTGCACAAAAATGGAATAAATGCTTGATTTTAGAATAATAATACACTTGAACAATAGGCTTGCACAAAAAAATAGGAAGTCAGCAGTTGCAAATTTTTTTAATTCGTAACTATGACTGTATCTTGTACCTTGAAAAAGATAAGATGCTTATATGAAAAATGTCAAGTCTTATTATTTTTGTAGAAAGAATCTGTGGTTAATAGTTTGATCTACTTTTTTGTGTAATGTACTTTCACAAAGATAATTTTTAAAAATCAATAGTTGGTCACTGTATCGTTGATTTAGTATTCTTAACATTTTGAGAAATGTATCGCTCTTTTTTTTTAAGCTAAAGCACCGTCCGGTAATAGGTGTTATGCAGAAGCAAATGTAAAATAAAATTGGCAAAACTTGATGCCATGCCAATTTATTTAAAAAGTGTTTAGTAAAGGACATACAATTCACAATTAAGCAAAAAAGAAATAATATTAATAACTATTTACCTTCAACCACCTTTTCCCAGGGGCTAGTTGCTATAAAATATGTAATATACAATTATTTTATGTGACCATGCTTACCAAAAACCAGTATTTGATTAATATTCCACACAATAATTTTAAGACTTTGAGTTTAATGAATTAATTAATGCTTTTGTTAAATTTTTTCAATCCTGGGACAATAGAAAATGAATGATAAAAATGTATAAATATTCAATGTGAAATATGTTAGAAACTTGTAATATTATGTTACATAACAAAAATGCCACAATGTTTCAATTACCTACATTTTTATGTCACTTATTTATTTTTGGAGTTTTGATTTTTAGAGAGAATTAATTTTGCTAAACATTAACAAATAGCCATTAGTAGTTAAAGATGAAAAATATTTATTATATATTTTAATTGTTTCTACAAAATGAACACAAATATTATTTTAAATAAATCATTTAGGATTAATACTGAACAATCTGATAAATTCAAAATAGTACATTCTTTCAAGTTTTGAAATGCACCCTTAAAGCAATTATATATTTTAAAATTCCAAAAATAAGAAACTACTAGTAGTACCAATAAGGTAATGTATTTATTCAAAATCTTACCCCTGGTGACAGAAGTGACTTTAGAGATGATTTTCTTATTGACATTTCTTGATCCTTTCCAAAAATGCAACACAGCATGGCAGCCATTTGAATATCAGATTGTGTAGCATAGTGTGTTATCCTAAAAATTTGAATCTAGTAAAATGCATTTTTTACAATTATACTGGTACAACAGGCCTGCCGATACTCACTAATGCCATGTATGATTATCAGTATCAGTATAGGCCAGTGATGGCTCACAAAAATTAAAGCGATCATATTTTTATAATGAAGACGGAGAGGTTTCATAATGACAAAATTTTAAATGAAATTTCTGAAATAACAAATTAAAATAGAGGTGATCGACCCCGAGATTTTAAAAAAAATATTTTTTATCATAATCAACTAATAGATACAAATAGGTGTTTTCTTGTTCTTTTTTTGCAAAATAATTATTTTCCTTAAAATTGCAGCATTATGAAATTTGAAAAATGGAATGTTAATATCACAAAATTTAAGTAGATTATGTTACCAAGAAAAATTCATTTTGCAAAAAAAACACCTGTTATATTTATTAATTCATTAGGAAAAAATATTTTGCAAATATACGTTCAACCCTTTTTGAGATCTAACCAAGGACATTTAAATGTCCTTGGATCTAACGGTCGACCATCCCTATTTTAATTTTTTATTTTATTTTAAATTAAATCGAAATTTCTACATCATAAATCATCCCGAAAAACGGTAAGCATTCCATGCTTCATTATCAAAAGTGACCACTTTAATTTTTGTGAGTCGTCGGTGGTATGTCATATTTTGTAAAAAATTTAATTACCTACAAACATTTTTTCCTCTTCCATTTTCGCCTAAAATTAACTCTTGAAAAGATACATAATAGGAAGAAAAATATAACATTTTTCGAATTTTTTTAACAACATATTGTTAGCCCACGTTTTTTTTATGTGCATAGAAAAATTTTCATTTCTAGTGATATTTGAAAGCCAAAAAGCCAAAAATCTCCGTGGATATACAATTTACCCAAACCAAAACAGATACCGCCTCGTCTAATATTCAAGGTGTAACTTACATACAAATTTGGATCAATTTTAAGAAGAAACATTTTATCAACCCAAGTTCTGTTGTGTTTTAGATTTTGAAATACCAGGTTATTGAAAAATCTGATATTTTCATAAATGTCTGAATACGTTGGAAATTGCCTAGAATTTTGTCAATCAGTGGCAGCCCCTAATACCTCACAATTATTAATATCAAACAAACGTGAAGAATTTTTTAAACAATTTATATACAGGGTGATTCACAAATGGTGACCAAAAATGAAACCTCGTGAATTTTAAGGAAAGTCTTTCCTATAAAGCTTTTATCTAGGACGCTTCGTTAAAAAGACACAGGGTGTTAAACTTTAAAAAATATTTTTAATTTTTTTAGTTTAAAAACTAGTAAGTGAAATAATTTGAAATTGGGCACGTATTTGTGTAAACATTGTCCAAAATCTGAGGGCTTTTCCTAAAATTTACATGCTCCAGTGGCCGAGATACAGGGTATCGGTGGCATATTTTTCTAAATAAATAGTACACCACTGCTTTACAGTAACAATCATGATATTTTTGAATTTGTCTTTCAATTTTTTACAAAATACTACTCTCTTATGTTTTTTGAAAAGTCTGATTTTCTAGTAAAACTTAAAAAACAAATTTTCTTCACGAAATAGGTACATCAAGAGTTATTTTAGATTCATTAAACTGCTCAGTAATGTAACATAAATTTAATAAAGTAATATGGTGAAACCTCATTTAACCCACCCTCTATTATCCAACTCTCTGTTGTATTAATACTTCATTTTAACTGTTAGTAACTCTTCATTATTTTGCCATACCCATATTTAATATGTTTTTTATATTTATTCTGTATTAACAGATTTTTTCATTTATCTGGATCTAGATGGTTCAGTCGGGGCCATAAGGCTCTATTGTGACTCAAAAATGATTTGATATTCAAATAAAATGGAAGAAATATTTTTACTTTAAAATGTACCTTCACGTAACCAACAGTTATTGAATTTCTAAAATACGTAGTGAAACGAATTCTGGGATATTTAAGTGACCCCTGAAAATGCTATCAGGGTTAACATATTTATGTAGATATGAAATCTCTACACATTTGCCTTTAATTACATTAAACAACTTCAGAGATATTTTAGAAAATGTGATTTTTTTTTTACACTTTAGTTCAAAAACTTAATCCTATGATTGTTAGGAAACTTTCACGGGATCAATTGTCTTTTATTTGACCATCCAAATAAATTCAAATTTTTTATTTGTCCAATTAATCTTCAAATACCCTGAATACGTAAAATAATATCGAAATAAAATGTGTACAGCTTGTCCAAATTTACCTTGTCCACGAGTTTCAAATGTGCAGTAGCAACGGCTTATATATTTAGATATACAGGGTGTCTCAAAAAGGTGTAGCCATACTTAACCCTTGGCCGACACACTGGGGTCGTTCGTGACCGGGCCTTATTCTTTTCAAATTTCCCCCCCCTTAATGTTCGGAAACCGGGCCCGTAGTGACATCTAGTTGTAGTTGGAGAGTAGCTCTTTCACTTAGTATAGTTTCCGGTGAATCAAGTGCGTCAGTCTGTCTGTGACACCTGAGTGAATTGGAGCGGGGTCGTCAACGACCCCAGAGTGTCGGCTACAGTTGAGATTGATTTTTTTCGAATTTTTGTTTCGCGTGTTTTTGTGCTACAAATCGTCGAAGAAGGTGAGTAAACTATGTTTTGAAAGTGTGATTTTTTTTTCTTCACAAATTAATAGTATTTTGAATATCGTAAGATGGCCTACAATCTTCGACGTCGCACGATTCGGCAAGAGCTCCTCGATGAGACGCAAGAAGTTCCTTCCGAGGACGAAGAGGCTCAAGAGAGCGAAGGGAGTGAAAGTGGAAGAGTTTCTGGGCATGAATCCGAATATTCCGACGCTACGGATGCGTCCTCAGAATTGAATGTGGACATGGAAGACGCCACTTTGGACAAGCGTCTTTTGGAGTCAAGGGCCCGGGGACGGCCGAGCTCTACTTTGAAAGGCAAAGATGGCTTCAAATGGAAGACAAGAGCTCCTGAGCGTCGTTCTGGTTAGTACTATAAATATATAATACGCATAGTAGGGAAGATTAGAAAGAAGGGCAGTGCAGGTAGCGGGGGTATACAAGCGCCTGAAAGAAAGAGCGAGCGAGAGGTAATAAAAGAGAAAGCGAGATTGTGATAGTAGAGGGGGAAGGGGAACTCTAAAGGGACATAAAAAAAAAAAGAAAAAGAAACGGAATATAAGTGGGATGAGAGAAAGCAAGAGTGAAAGAGAGGAAAAAATGGAGCGCAGTTTGAAAATTCAATTTGTTTTTGCAGATCGAGTAAGCGATGTTTTACCTGCCTATGTACCTGGACCAAATGGTGATGCCAAAAATCTTGATTCTATTGAAAAGTTTTGGGTTATACTTTTCAACGATGAAATGATCGATATTATTGTGGAACATACAAATAATAAGATCGGAGAAGTCTGTTTGGAGTTGGTTGCCGCAGACAAAGCAGAAAGCTACCATCACTTGACTGATCGTGATGAGATTAGAGCATATATTGGCGTCTTATATTACCAAGGGCTTTGGAAATCTGCCAATGTAGATAATGACAGACTTTGGGATAAAAAAAATGGCATTACGCTCTACAGATGCGTTTTCCCAAGGCTGAGATTTACATTTCTAGGCTCTTGTTTGCGGTTTGACGACAAGAAGTTGCGAGATGAGAATGATAGATTTTCTGCAATTCGTCAAATCTGGGATATTTTCATGATGAACTGTCAACAGTATTATACGCCGAGCAATAAATGCACTATTGACGAACAGTTGTTGAGTTTTCGAGGCAGATGTGTATTTCGTATGTACATGAAGGATAAGCCAGATAAATACGGATTGAAAATAGTTACGCTAAACGATGCAGAAACCTCATACTTGGTAAATATACTTTCATATTTCGCCTTCGTTTTGGGAAATACATATAGCAGTTTTTTAATATCAATCTAATTTATTTAAGATTTACGGATTGCCCTATTTAGGCAAGGGAACTGCTGTTGTTCGAGAAGAAAAGATCCACGAGTATTTTTTCCGTATCGTTACTGCTCCTATCCATGGTTCTCATCGTACAGTAACTTGTGACAATTGGTTCATGTCTGTACCTCTACTCCAGCGTATGCTGCCTGCACCATACTACATAACAATTACTGGAACGATGAGAAAGAATAAGAGAGAAATACCAGCTGAAATGAGAGTTGCTTCCAAGTCACCACCAGAGTCCAAGTTCTGCCATGCAGATAATCTTACGCTGGTCAGCTTTACACCAAAGAAAAATAAAATCGTATTGCTACTTTCTTCATATATGCACACAACAGAAGTTACAGATAGTAAGCCTAAAATTATTCATCACTATAATGAAACAAAAGGAGGAACTGACACTTTTGACCAGCTATGCCATTCGTATACGGTGACGAGAAGGACGAATCGCTGGCCAATGAGAATTTTTTGCGGCATGCTTGACCAGGCTGCGGTGAACTCTCGCATTCTCTTGAAGTGCAAACTCAAAGCTGATAATTCCAATGACAAGTGTACTGCGATCAGTTGCCTTGAGAAACTTTCATTGTACCTGATCAGACCGTATCTACTGAAAAAGTACAACGACACGGTCACTTTGCGCCGTGACTTGAAAGTCGGCATTGCCGGGATTCTGGGCCTCGACGTTCACAAAGAAGGAGGATATGAACGAGTGAAATTTCCGAAAAGACTGAGATGTGCAGACTGCTCGCGAAAAACCGATAGAAAAACAAATGAAGGTTGCGTAAGTTGTCAGCGCCCCATTTGCGAAGTTCACCGTTTGATGTTTTGTAAAACGTGTTCGAGCATGTAATCAATAATATTTTCATCGGCTAAGTTGTAATAAAGTATGTTTTTCGATTAACTTGACTATTTTTCTTCATTCCTCGATTTATTTTTGTGAATTTTCAGTATTAAATGAGGTTTGTAATGAAAAAATGCACTTTTGAAAAATGACTGAAATTCATTCTTCAAAATAAATACCTTTTTTTCAGCGGGTACTATCACAATATTTTTTTATATAAAGCAATATGTTTAGACATAATGCTGCTGGAATTTGAGCGTCCAATTCACAAAATTGAAAAAGTTATGAATTTTTAAGTAAAACGTCATTTTTTGGAGTTTTTTGCAAACTATATTTTTTTTAACAAATTAAATTGAAAATTTTTTGCATCGCACTCATATTGTCTTAAAAAGGGGTAGTTAATGTACAACTGTGAATTTTTTTACGATGAAAAACAGCTTAGTTCACTTAGAATAGACGATTATGTGGCTGGGTCAAAAACGCCCCAGTGTGTCGGCTATGATTGGCGCCAGAAGTGTGTCGGCTAAGGGTTAAGGGGATATAGAGAACATCGTGGTAGAAAATTTTTTCATATAAACCCCGTCGGAAATGAGCCGTTTTGGCCCTGGAGCAATTATTGTCCAAAAACGTAATGTTATCTCGTTGACACCAAAAGACTTTGATATTTAAATAATTTTTATTAAGGATAACGCAAAAAACAATTTGAAACAAAATAAACATGTTTATCAACACACGATGTTGGTAAAAATTGATTTTATCCATAACTGATAAAAGCTCTATTTGCACGCATCTAATCTAGCCATGCAATGTCATCTGTGTCACGCTGTCAGGTATAGTGAAACAAATGAACAGAGCTGTCACGTAATAAATGATCGGACCTAATTGAGTGTTTCACATTTGTTCTGTTTGTGACGAAATTTTGCTTCTAAGTTGTTGAAATGGACCAATTTGAAGAGTAAGCAAAAATTCAATTTATTTATGGCAAAATAAGACGCAACACTAGAGAAGCTGAGCACTTTCCGAATCGCCGACATCCTTGGCGAACAAGATTTTTGACAATCCATTGTGGTTTAAGAGAAAACAACTTTAAATCAGATGTAGGAAGTTGACATCCACGAACTGCATGGGCAGTGGTCATTGAGGAAGAGGTTTTGCATCAAACTAAAGAACAACCTACCACAAGCCGTTTTGAACAATTATTATAAATTTATTATTTTTGAGTTATCCTTAATAGAAATTACTTAAATATCGAAGCCTTTTGGGGTCAACGTAATAACATTACGTTTTTTGACAAAAATTGCTACAGGGCCAAAACGGCTCATTTCCAACTAGGGGTCTATATACAAAAAGTTTCTTCCGCAATGTCCTCTATAATCCCCTCAAGATTGGGAACACCTTTTTGAAACATCCTGTATAATATAAACCTCCATTAAATAACTATATTTGCCAAATCTAAATAAAATTTGTACACAGGAGGTACCTGCCTTACTAGCAAGATCTCGTCTTTGTCAGTCCTACTGTGGACTCTCTTCTTTATCTGCACATCTTAAAGACAAAATAAATTTGGTTAAGCTTTATTATACTCACAGTGATTGCATCAATTGGTTTCCAAAAGGATGAACAGACCAAGACATTTCTTCATCGGCCTGTTGAGGACCCGCTACTAATTCAGCAAGTGTCCAAGCCTGCACTAAATCCCAACGACCTACCACAGCTGCAGCGGCGGCATTATGTTTACAAATTGTCCCAACATCACCATCAAGTATATACTCTTCTGCAAGTTGTCTATTTACAAAAAATAATCCTAAGGCATCATATATATGGACAACTGCTTTAGAAACTTTTGAAAAATTGTGTTTGGCCCGAGACCTTTGTCTTTGAAAATAATATGCAGAAACGGTCATATTATCATTGGAGCGCTTAGTGAAAACATTTTCCAAAGCTGAAAGAGCTCGCGGTGTTGTCGTTTCAAGTTTATTGGAGAGTCTGCGTGTATGTAATGGCCGGCTAAAACAAACTAATGTACCAACCGAACAAAATTTTGCTCCAGAAGTTCTAGGAAAAGGAATATAAGCATCATTATATCCTCCAAGAGCATTAACAGGATCTATATATGGTCTTTCGTATATCCTATCCTTTTCAACATCTACTGACAATTGCTCTAGTGTAGTAACCATTTGCCGTAAACAAGACTCTAAACAAGTTCTATTTTTTGACACTCTTTGTTGAGCTAAATGGTTTAGGGTTTGTAGAAGTTGCGTTTTTATATTGTCAGTAATATTGGATCCAGATGTAATTTGAAAGACGGGTGGTACGCCACATGGATATGCATTAGGAAATGTGGCCTGCAAATTAACAGTTAAATTGTTAATAGAAGCTTTCACATTCATAATTCTTGTAACAGGGTCCATTTTTTTAACTTCTAAATTTGGTATTAAAACATTTAATAATGAAAATTCCTGTTGTAAAGGTTGCACTTTAGGTGATGTTCTCTTTGGTAATTTTACAGTTTCAATTATATCAGTACCCGTACCATCCACATCTTTAGAGTCATCGGCCTCATAACCACACAGCTTTTGAAGAAAAGGTTCTATTTTCCAAACAAGCAAAGTTTGGTCTTTAGACCAAGTAATCAGTTGGAAATCGGTGTCACCTGATTTTTGTTTCCTCCATTCAAAATCCAAGACAACATCTCTGTGTCCAACAAATGTATGAATCGGGGTTGTTCTGTTAGATGTATTCCAAAGTAATAAACTATTCTCTCCTCGACGTAACTGAGGCACCACAACTGTTACCAATCCCTCTCCGAATGGAGTATATCTCGCCCTCCAAACAGGTGCATTTGTTGTCAAAGAATAATCTGTACGTCTTGGATTTGATATATCAAAAAATTTTACAGTATTATCCTGACTAGATGAACAAATCTGATTTTCTGATGCTGGGCTCCAATCCAATCCATGTATCTTTGCTAGATGAGCAGCTATGTACTGAACAGGTGCCGTACCTTTGCGCTGATCCCAAATCTTAATATCACCTTCATGGGCAGTAGCTAATAAATGTGGTGATATCCTGTTCCACCGTACCTGTGAAGCCTCTGCTATAGCTGAAAGTGATAGTGTTGGACGTTTTGAATCACGTATATCCCACAAATGAATAAATGTATCAACTGAACACGATGCTAAAAGATTTGGATCAAATTTATGCCAGTTTAAGTCGGTAATAACTCTAGTATGAGCTCTAAGAGAATGTGTTTGTGTCAGTTCATCATTTCTCCATGTCAACACTTCCAATCTCTGGTTGCTCTAAAAAGTATTTAGATATTAAATTATTTTATTGTATATATATTTACTTACTGATATTACACACAGTTCTTTATGATATATGGTAGGATTCCATTCTGCAGCTCCCACATCATATTTACTTTGTCTTGGAAACTTATGTACTAGTTCAAATTGTTCGTCTAAATTCCTAATAGCTAAATACCTTCTCCTGTAATTCAGATAAAGATAATTGATTGAAAAATATTTTTCTTAACAAAAAGTGAATATTTTTTTTATCAATTCATAATAATTCAATGACAGTTTTTAAATATAATAAAATTCATTAAGAATTAAAAAGGCAATATTAAACAAGTACATATATACAAGTCCAATATTAATAATAATATATTTTAAACATTTTAATAAGAAACATCCCATAGTATACCTACATAGTTTTCAAATAATCAACGATTTGTATTTTTATCAGTAAATATTTCCTTCGCCACTAAAATAGCAGTATATTGTTTAAAATAAATAAAAACAACTATAATAAAATAGGTATTGACTCAATATTTTCAATTCATTGAATGTAATGATACAGATTATAACAAAACTAATTTATTCAAAATTGAAAAATTTTAAAAATATAGCTTTATGATATCAACATACCCTGCTAGTAATACATAAGTTCCTGTGGAATCTACAGCCATTGCATTTGCTTGCAGATCTTTACATTCTAGAGCAATATAGTATTCACTATTCCTATTTGCTAAAGACATTGCTAATATTTATAATATAATTTAGCAGATAGAATAGTCCTTTAATTCTAAATAAATTTTAGTTTTTCACTGTTTACAAGGATATTCAATTAACTTAAGTTTTTTTTGACTTGTTTATTATTATTTTATTTCAATTCCGAATATGCTTTTGTCCTAAAACATTTCTTAAATTTCTTCCCAACCACAATAACTAATATAACAATAATAACATAACCAATAAATTTTCTAAATTTCTAATTCTTCCTCATATCCTCATTGTCCTCCTCAATCTTCTTCTTCTTTTTTTATGTCACATAAATTTCTCATCACCTTATCACAAAATACGTGGGTATACACTATACAAAGTGTTAATACAGTGCTTGGCCAAACATTAATGATGATTCAGTTTACATTGACAAATTAACCAAAAAGGTTCCTATCCTATGTGAAATCTGCTCAGAAAGACTTCCTTTTCGAGAGATCTACGTGTGTAAAATTTAAAAAAAAATGTTTTTTAATATACAACTATAAACAGTTACAGCGATTTCAGAAAAACTTTGTATGCAACCACAGTATGCAACTTTCTTTCTTATAGTTCACAAACGTAGTACATGAAGGTTTCCTTTACATATACAGGATCGGAAAGTCCCCATATGGTTCATCCGCCGTTACGTGAGAGCGATAAAGTAAGTCATAGAAATCCGTGCGATAGAGAAAGATGGCTATAATGAAGGCGTCTAATAGTCACCGCCCATTTCGTCCTTCCACAAATAAGAATAAGTGGATCTTATTTCTGGAAGGGCGAAATGGGCGGTGACTATTAGACGGCTTCATTATAGCCATCTTTCTCTATCGTACGAATTTCTATGACTTTCTTTATCGCTCTCACGTAACGGCCGATGAACCATGGGGACTTTCCGACCCTGTATGTAGAGCTGTAGCTTAGCGTAATTTCATAATGTACCTACAATAGATTGCTATCTTCTCTCTTTAATATATTTAATAATTAGTTGTCTTTTAAACAGAAGCAAGACGTTACCATTATTTAATTTTAAGTATTGTATGTATAAATTAAAGCAATTTTCTGAATTTTCTTTTGTATTTTGTTTTTTTGTGTTAGGTAGTAAAACATATGTAGCTAATTCTACTATCATGCATTTTAGTCGATAGGTATACATTCTTAATTCCACAGTCCATTATTTTGGAATTAAATATTCCAGAAATAGTCTTTTAGAGATAAGGGTAGGTAACAAAGTTATTATTTTCTAAATCTATTTCTAAAAGAAGAATGGTTTTAATTATGATTAGTGCTATTTATTTATTTATTTACTTTAATAATAAATAAATACATTATGTTTGTAATTATCTGGTTGAATTTAATGCGCTATATTTTAAACTTTTCTATTATACAGGTTCGGAATGTACCGATGGTCTATTTGCCGTTACGTGAAAGCGATAAAGTAAGACATAGAAATCCATGCGATAGAGAAGGATGGCCATAATGAAGGCGTCTCACAGTCACCGCCCGTTTCGCCCTCCCACAAATAAGATCCACTTCTTATTTGTGGAAGGGCGAAATGGGCGGTGACTATTAGCCGCCTTCATTATAGCCATCTTTCTCTATCGTACGGATTTATATGACTTACTTTATCGCTCTCACGTAATGGCAGATGGACCATCGGTACTTTCCGACCCTGTATACTGGTTTTAATCATTATTGGTATCGATACTCGACTAAATGTATCAAATGATACAAGAATCCCTACTTTTTATGGTAGTCAATACTATGGGACATAAGGGCGCTTTCAAGTATCAAAAAAGTTATTTGGCATCAGAGAACCTCAATTTGGATAATTTCCAAATAAACCTTTGTGGCTTTTGAGATTTCTTCTAGAATGCATATGTTATTGGGTTGCTAACCGTTCTGAATTTCGGTGGACGTCTACCATTTAAGCTAATTATTCAATTGTCTTGTGTCCTACCAAGACTTCTTGCAGGATGCCAAATGTTCTTAATTTTATACATTTGTAAAATTTTCCAAAATATACAAGACTTTTGCACAATCCGGCAACCGCCGAATTCTCAACCTCAGGCGTGTAGAGACCACACCAGAAATTTATCCAATAATATCATGAAATTAAAAATAATCAAATAAATAATCTTTCACTCAAGTAAAGACAAAAAAAGGAAGCAAACGCAATAGATTTGACTTGTTTCTCATCTCATTCTCTCGCTCCACCTGACCGAGCGGCTCCCGTTGCTGGCCACATGCTAATTTTCTACCAACGTAATATATAATATTGCATAATATAATATATAATTATTTACCTACAAAATAGGTATCTGTGTTTCTTTTTGGTCGGACTAGCCGGCTGACCAGCTGGCCTCTCAAGGCCCACCCCAAGCAAAAATGTTACCTACGCTCATGCTCAACCTCAATGCGTACCTATGTACCTAGATTTGTCTTCTCATTTTTGACTTTTTTTTGAAGGTGGTTTTTTTTATGCTCACCCCTTGTAATTCGACAATGGTCAGTTTTTAAGAGAACTAAATTGCACAAATAAATTTTAGCAAAAATCATTAAACGTATTTTGTTTATTAGAGTGGAATCTCTGAAAGTTTATCAAAACATCGCTGTTACACCGTGTGTGGTGACGAAACGTCGACAAATAAAAATTTTTAAGTATTATCCACAAATAATTAAAATCTAGTTCGCTAGCCTAGATTTTGCTAGTAACATTATTTATTGATCGACTGAAAGTGGCAAGTCAAGTTATTTTTAAATAACGACAATAATCCAATTAACCACGTCCTCATCAATGAAAGAATTAAAATATTTTTTGTATGGTACTCTTCAACTATTCTTTCAAAGAACAGTTGAAGGGAACCATACTTACATACTTCTTTGTAACTTGAAGTAAGTCCTTTTCATTAACTTTAAACGTTTCTTGTATCTCATACACAAAGCGTTTCTATAAATATAGATGTACCTACATTTCTAGGAATTTCTCTTTAACTTATTCTTATTACCCCATTATTTATGTTTAGAAACATTTATATAAAATGTGGCCTAAGAAATATGATCATGTGTTTAAATGAAAAATTAATTTTCTATTTTGCTGTTAATTAAATTTTAATAAATAACTAATACCCATTTTGCTATTTTTGCAATTTCCGTTTTTTAATTAGGTATAATAATTTTATTAGACTACTGTTCAGACTATTACGACTGTAGCTAGCCACTTTATAAAATATTATCCACCCATGATACAATGATGTTACCCTAATTTCCATATTTTATTTTTAATCCATTGAGTTTGGTTGTTAACAGAGCCACCGCTAGAAAAAAATGTAGGGGGGGGGG